AGCAGGAGTAGTAGTAGGACTAGTAGTAGTAGTAGTAGTAGTAGTAGCAGCTGTAGTAGTCGTAGTAGCAGTAGTAGCAGTAGTAGTAGTAGTAGTAGTAGAAGTAGTAGTAGCAGTAGTAGTAGTAGTAGTAGTAGTAGTATTAGCAGCAGCAGTAGTAGTAGTAGTAGCAGTAGTAGTAGTAGTAGTAGTAGTAGCAGTAGTAGTAGTAGTAATCGCAGCAGCAGCAGCAGCAGTAGTAGTAGTCGTCGTAGTGGTAGTAGTAGTAGTAGTAGTAGTAGTAGTCGTCGTAGTAGTAGTAGTAGTAGTAGTAGTAGTAGTAGTGAGTCCTAGCAGAAGTAGTAGTAGTAGTAGTAGTAGTAGTAGTAGTACTAGTTGTAGTACTAGTAGTACTAGCAGTACTAGTAGTACTAGTGGTACTAGTAGTACTAGCAGTACTAGTAGTACTCGTAGTACTAGTAGCACTGGTAGCACGAGTAGTATTAGTAGTACTAGAAGTACTAGTAGTTAGTAAGTTAGTAGTGAGTAGTCAGTAGCTAGTGGTTAGTAGCTACTAGCTAATAGCTAGTACTTTGTAGGTTGTACTTTGTAGCTTGTAGTTTGTAATTTGAGTTTATGGTTTGTAGTTTGTAGTTTGTGGTAGTGGTAGTGGTAATGGTAGTGGTAGTGTCAGTAGCAGTAGCAGCAGTAGCAGGAGTCATGGTAGTAAGTAGTAGCAGAAGCAGAAAGAGGAGGAGTAGGAGTAGCAGCAGCAGTAGCCGTGGCAGTAGCAGTAGAGGGAGACATGATGAGAGTCGCAACCACAAGGCATGGTCAGAGAGTGGCACTGGTAGTTGTGTTTGTGGCAGTGGTGGTTGCGGTGGTGGCGGTGGCGTTGTCGGCAGTGGTAACTGCAGCTCAAGCAGCACTACTGGTGATACCTCATAAAAATCTTGCACCATCTTGCACCACTCTATTGATAGTGCTAGTACTGATGCTTTGTTGTGGTGGCGAGCAGCCGCATTAGTGCTCTTTTCATGGAAGCATTGGTCCTCTCATGGTTGTGCTTTTGCAAGGTTGTGTGTGCGGGTTCTTGTTGTTGCTGTTGCCGTTGTTGCTGTTGTTGGTTCAACTTTCCAGGTCGCTGCATGAACGGGTACATCTTTGCGAGTCCTGGCAGGAAAACCTGAATGACTGCGGTGTTTTCGTGCTGGAGAACATGTTGCGGTCGGCAGCCCTGCAAATTCTGCGCATGCCCGTCCGCACCATTAACAAGGCGAGCAATATCCATCCAGAACTGCAGCATCACTGCATAAAGATACAGCTGTGCCTGTGCTGCAGGTCGCTGTCAATGAAGAAGGACTTCTTGAAGCAGATGTCCTCAGCAACGCCGCAAGTGAGCCCTCTACTGTTCTTTATCCAATTATTCCAACGGTTGCTCGTGCAGATGGGCCCCGCATGTGCAGGCTTCTACTCGCGTGAGACCCTAAACACAGCAAGTTAACATGATCCACAAGATCCAAGTGGAGACTCGAATTTAGTCTGTAGCCTGGTAGGTTTGTGGGTTTTTATATGTTGAATGTCTGGGGTACCATTACTGCTTCTGTTTTTCTGATATGTGCATAGTCGTACTTGTCGTCCTGGTCCAGTTTGCACGAAGACTAACAGCACATTGCACAGCTGGGTGGCATTGTTGTCTTTATCCACATGACAAACGCCTCGCGCTCCTCTGTAATAATCGTTGCTCATGTGCCTTTGAGGAGATGCCGAACACACAAAAATACAAGGTACTGATGGGTTGAAGACTTGTTCACTATGGCAGGTGCTTATTCCTAAACCCTGAGCCCCAAATGCGTACTCCCTAAACCCTAAGCCCGAAATGCCATCTGAAGGTTTCTCTCTGGGAGATCTGTGACTTTCAAGCGCGAGCTCTGGACTGACGGGGCCCACAAACTCTTAGGCAGCAGACTGAGGTCGTATCAGCCTCAACCTAGCACATAGCCTAGACAACACTACTAGCTTTAGGATGTTCTCGCCATGTGGGACATTTCATTCTCGGAGCCCTCTGCCCGACTCTCAGACACAGCCTTGTCTTCTGAGTACTTACCCTGATCTCGGTACCAGGGCATGGCTGCCTTTGCTCAGCGCGATTTTGAAAGTGCTTGCTGTTCACATCGCTGTTGTCATTGTCGTCGTGACGGCTGTCGTAGCATCACGAACATTTCGGCAGACCGAAGACACAGCTGCAACAACTCCAGCTGAGGTAAGATGTCGCGATATATCCAGCTGGCCTCGTGCTTCTTCCTCCTGGGGCCCGCGCATGGCGCGAGCAACTGTGCAAAGATGGCGGGCTGTTGGAACCTGCAAGGCGCTCGCAGTTCTCTGTTTGTGGGATGTCGTGACGTTTCCTTCGAGGTCGGCCCTAGGACACTGCATTTGCATAAATGAATATTTCATACTATAATGCCACAACCATGACTATAGTTAGAATGTGATATTTGGATCGACAATCTCGTCAGGGGGAGACCAGCTTCGTCCCATCCTCGCTGCTCGGAGCGTTACTATCTTGCTTGGAAAATTCGGGTTACAGTGCTTTTTCCTTGAAGCTTTTACAGTTTCGTTGCTCAGCGCCACGTGAATTGTATCAGTCGCCACAAGAAGAAGGCTCTACCACCGGACCTTCCCCCGCGGTTTCTTGGGGTTCAGGGTGTAATTTCAAGCTCAGAAATCTGTGCCGGAGCCGTTTCTCCGCTGAGGACGGAGAGCAGCAGTTCCTTGACGACAACCGCGCTTGTGCTTTCGGCCACGTAGCCAAGGACCGCCTCCCACCGAGCGCTTGAGCTTTTGGGCGTCTCTATACTTAGAGGATCATGGGACTTAGTAAGTAAGGTTATAAGTACCCTAATTGGGATCATAATTATAGTTACCTTATTTATAATCCTAGTTACTATCGGACTGACTCAGTCTTCGATCTCGCTCAGCTTCCAAGGATTTCCAAGATGCCCTGCTAAAGCCTTCAGCCCTAGACCCCAAACCCTAAACCCCAAACCCACAAACCTTAAACCCCAAAACCCTAAACCCGAAACCCCGAACCCAAACCCTAAGCCCTAAACCCCAAAAGCCCAAAAGCCCCAAACCCTAAACCCTAAACCCCAAACCCTAAACCCCAAAACCCAAAACCCTAAACCTTCTCCAGGGCCTCGAGTGCAAGACTGGGCCATCCTGCGGCTATACTTGGTACGAATGCATCTGCATCAGCGAGGGCCCCAGCCATGAAAGTATGTTATAGCATATTTTTACATATAAGTATAATATTGTAGTATAGTATAGTATAATCTAGAATACTCTAGTATAGTATAGTATAGTATAGTATAGTATAGTATAGTATAGTATAGTACGGTATAGTGTAGCATATTGCATTATATTGTACCGGAAGGGGCCGTGTCCTGGCTGCGAGATTGCACCGTTTCAATCCAAGGGCTTTCCAGATCCAGAGGTGTCGTAGCATGGCCGTAGGCAGTATAGTACATATATATATATATATATATACTACATATATATATATATATATGTTATATAATATATAAAGCTTTTGGATGCTTTTGGTTTATCTTCCACGGAAGCCTTATTGAGTCTTTTTGCAAGCGAAGCCGACTTGAGCTCCTTCTGGTTCCATGAGCGCTTCGCAAAAACTCCTAAGCCCCGAAGCCAACCGCCCCAGGTCGCGAAGCGGCGGCCGAAAACGCCGCGGGCGCGAAAACTGCCAGGATTGCCTTCGGGGCCGCCGCTGCCGGTCACCTGACTCGCAGAGGATGTTTTGTTTTGGACTTGAGGCGACCTGTTGCGGCCGTTGCTGGTTGGTACGTCTCTTGAGCTTGTTGGACCCTGTGTTGAGTCCGCCGATGCACAAGTCATGGGCCATGGGTATACAAGTTCATAGCCCAGGCCTGTTTGGCCGTTGGCTGTTGTTCTTGTCTTTCCGAGACCACCGCATAGGTGCCCCCTGCGGCGTGTTTGCTACATATGAAACAATACCGTAGCTGTTCCCTAGGCGTATGCTGTCGGTATTCCTGATTGTGTTTGAGACTTTTCGTAACATATTGTCACATTAAATACCCTAGCTCTTCCCTCGGCGTATGCGGTCGGTATCCAGTTGTTATTATTGCTATGGTTATTGTTGTTATGTACCTTGTCATTGTTCTTGTTAGTGTTCTTCTTCTTCTTATGATTCTTATTATTGTTGCTCTCGTTAAAACTCTTGCTCTTGCTCTGGCTCTGGCTGCCGTTGTGATTATTGTTGTTGTTGTCGTCCTCCTCGTCGTTGTTTCCTACTACTGTACCGTACTGACCGTCTATGAGAGGGGTCACCTTATGATACACTGTCTTGTGGTCGTCATCATGAGTAATGTAGGGGCCTGAATAATTACCAATACTATTTTTGGGGTTCCTTATTATAATTATAGTATAAATGGGCCCCAAAGCCTATTCTAATTACTAAGGCCCCTATCTTACTCATGCATCCAACCCCAACCCCCTGCAGGCATCGCCTTCAGCATCTGGATTTGCGTGGGGGTCGTGATGCCTGGCTTGAAAATTACAAGTAATGTAGGGGCTCTAAGAATTACCTATACTATTTTGGGGGGCTCCTTATTATACTTATAGTAGAGTATACCCCAAAACCCGATTCTAGTTCTAGAGGCCCCTACATTACATGGATATCTTCCCAGCCGCATCGAAGCTATATTCGGGTCTCCGGCCAATGCTTCCCCCACACTTCTAGGGAGAGACATTAGGCCTTGGCCCTTTGCCTCGGATTCTCTTCGAAGGTCTGTAGGATCTTTATGCAAGCTCCACGGCATGAAGTGCTTTTCTTTCAAAGAACACCTTTACCCCTTTGGCAACTTCAAACACCCCCAACCTCAAAGCCCTGAAGAGTAGGCTCCTGGTCGATTTAAAGTTAACCCTAAATCCTAAACCCTAAACTTTAGGCCTAAGCCCTATACCCTATAACCCTAAACCCTAAACCCTAAACCCTAAACCCTAAAACCCTAAACCCTAGACCCTAAAACCCTAACCCCTAAACCCTAAACCCTGAACCCCAAGCCCTAAACCCCAAGCCCTAAACCCAAAACCCCAAACCCTAAAACCCCAACCCCTAAACCCCAAACCCTAAACCCAAA